GTCTTTAATATTTTACTTCTGTTTACAAAACAGATGGGCAAGGGCTCCTTCAAGTATGCCTGGGTGTTGGACAAACTGAAGGCCGAGCGGGAGCGTGGTATCACCATTGACATTGCTCTCTGGAAATTTGAGACTAGCAAGTACTACGTCACCATCATCGATGCCCCTGGGCACAGAGACTTCATCAAGAACATGATCACTGGTACTTCTCAGGTATGACTATGCTCCACCCACACGGAACTGTGCTTTTGTGAGTGTATTGTAGTAGGGTAAGGTTTAACTTCATGGCCCCCCCTTTCTTCCAGGCTGACTGTGCCGTGCTGATTGTTGCTGGTGGTGTTGGTGAGTTCGAGGCTGGTATCTCGAAGAACGGACAGACCCGTGAACACGCCCTCCTAGCTTTCACCCTGGGAGTGAAACAGCTTATTGTTGGAGTCAACAAGATGGACTCCACTGAGCCCCCCTACAGCCAGGCTCGTTTTGAGGAAATCTCCAAGGAAGTCAGCGCCTACATCAAGAAGATAGGCTACAACCCTGCAAGTGTTGCCTTCGTCCCAATTTCTGGATGGCATGGGGACAACATGCTGGAGCCCAGCACAAATGTAAGTTTATGAAACTGCAGGGATGGTGGAAAGTTCCATAAGTGGAACCGCTGTTTCAGTGTGTTTCTATTCACCTCTTAATTGACCGTCTGATTTTAGATGGGCTGGTTCAAGGGATGGAAGGTTGAGCGAAAGGAGGGTAATGCTAACGGCGTTACTCTTCTTGATGCCCTGGATGCCATTTTGCCCCCCAGCCGTCCCACTAACAAGCCTCTCCGTCTGCCACTTCAGGATGTCTACAAAATTGGAGGTTGGTATAACTTGTAGAGTTAAAGTTCTGAAGTCAAAACGCTTGGATTGATTTAATGATTTTTTTTCATCAGGTATTGGAACGGTGCCCGTGGGCCGTGTGGAGACTGGTGTCCTCAAGCCTGGTATGGTTGTGACCTTCGCCCCTGCCAACTTGACCACTGAGGTCAAGTCTGTTGAGATGCACCATGAGTCTCTTGCTGAGGCCACTCCCGGTGACAACGTTGGCTTCAACATTAAGAACGTGTCTGTCAAGGACATTCGCCGTGGTAATGTGGCTGGAGACAGCAAGAACGACCCCCCTCAG